GAGGAGTGGCTGGTAGGCTTGAACGGCCAGCAGTCAAGTGCCTTAGGCACTATGCTACCAGAGCTCCTAAGATTAGGATATGGAGCCTGTTAATTCTGTTGAATCCTTCCCATCTGAAGTGATTACTATAAAAACATTAACCCTTCCACTCAGTTTTATGGGATTAACCCAGCTGTTACTGCTGGGTCACTGCCTGAGGCAGAGGTCATGGAAGATATTGCTGAATGTTCTTAGGAACTTCCCCAACCACCTGTTGTTGCTGCTAGACCTACAACTAAAGTTAAGTCCAAGCAAGCCTCAAAAGGTGAAATACAAAGTGTGACTGAGGAGATGGTACACTACACCCGAAAAGACCTACTTGATTTTGCTCACATGCATAGACAGAAACCTGGAGAATATGTATGGGAATGGCTACTGAGGGTAAGGGATAATGGTGCAAGGCATGTAACATTGGATCAGTCTGAGTTTATTGATGTGGGCCCACCAAGTATGGATTCTTCATTCAATGTTTCAACTAGAGATGTTAGGAAAGGATATAACTGTTTATTTGGTGGGCTTACTGAAACATGGATTATGAGGTGGCCTACCTTAAGTCAAGATGAAGTACCAGACCTGCCTAGGTATAATGAAAAACAAGGTATCCAGAGGCTTAGGGAAACTGGAATATTAGAATGGAATTATCAGATTAAACCCCTAGAGCAAGAAAAGGAGAGTCCAGAGGGCACATCTTTCACGAGTGTTGTTGTTGTTGTTAAGTGCCATCGAGTCGTTTCCGACTCATAGCGACCCCATGCACAGCAGAACGAAACACTGCCCAATCCCGCGCCAGCCCCACAATCCCTGCTATACTTGAGCCCATCATCGCAGCCACCGTATCAATCCATCTCGTTGAAGGCCTCCCCCTCTTTCGTCGACCCTCCACCCTACCAAGCATGACATCCTTCTCCAGGGAATGGTCCCTTCTTACAACATGACCAAAATAGGTGAGACAAAGTCTGGCCATTCTTGCTTCCAAGGAACATTCTGGCTGCACTTCCTCCAGGACAGATCTTTCATGGGTAGAGAAAGGAATAAATTTGTGAAGGGAGCTCCAGTGTCCTTCAGCACTGCTGTGACTGGTATTTTATGTAAGCTGGATTTTACAGTAGGAACTGCTCTAATTGAACTAAGACACTTAACTATGATGGGGATGATTGGACACCATGGTAGTAGGGGCCAAGTGGCAGTAGTTAATTGTTCATCAACAAAAGAAAGGTGGGAGTGGTTACCATAAACGGGAGCAGAGTCAGAACAGTAATCAGAATACTCTGACTCGTGTGGAATTAAGGCATTTTCTACTTGAGCATGGTGTTCCTAGTAGTGAAATACTAGGCAAATCTACTAAATATTTACTTGATTTGTATAGAAAGAAGAATTCTAGGTCACATGAACAGCAGCCTAGATTGAATCGCCAGAATACAGAGTAAC